GCGTAGGCGGTAAGCAATGCTCAGTCGTACCAGCACATAAAAACCAACACAATAAAAAATACCAATGGTAGATATAAGTTATTGTTATACAAATGGCTTGGTTACATAAATTAATCGAAAGGCTTGGCCAGATTAAATTTAAGCGAACTCAAGTTTATGTGGAGGCACTACAAATGTTCTACCAGGGTGTCAGATAACTGTGTGGTTGCTCCACAGGATTAAACTGTACTGTTCACATTTTAGTGATAACAGGTGAGTAGTGTCTGGTTCTGTTGAAAAACCAACGTAAAATTACCCTTGCCAATTGAAGCTGAATTTATATACCATTGTAGTGAAGGGGAACACAGGTGAGGGCAACCGAACTGAATTTAGCGAAAATTACAGAAGTACTCAGTTAAATAGGAAAACCATATCGTAAACGGTGGTTAATTTGCAAATCTTCAATCCATTATTAATCCATTGTCTGACATTTCACTATTCATGCGTTTCATACAAATTCCATTGTGTTCCCACTCTTCCTTTCTTTATCTTCACCCATCTTCTGCTGACAGATATTACGTTTACACTCGCATCATATACTACTTATAAGTAGCGCGCACCACACAATCAATAATTCTATAAACTCTTCAACATTTTTACCTCAACTTATCCCATTCACAATTTCATTTAGATTAATTAGTCAACCTGTATACACTTGATTATAAATACCAATAAGAAAATCAAAAGGCAAAAAAATTGATCGAACCTATTCGAGAATAATCAAAAGTCATGTGAAATCATTTTTTTGAAAAAAACAGAAAGGGGAAAACACAAATGTGATCGATCGATCAGAAAAACTCATCATATTCATATACACAATTTATGGGATTAAAAAAAATAATAAATACTTTTTCTGACGTGAATAGAGAAAAATATATATATTCAGTCATCATTGTAAGCAGAACTACAAAATGTACAAATTTATTCACATATTTCGTGATATTAATTTTTTTTTACGTTTGATTCAAATACATCAGACTAGATATTCACATATGAATGTATATGTATATGTTTGTAGGATAAAGTGAAATGATTTACACTTGTTTAGTCAATATATCAATATTGGAAAAACGAAAACTGATTTTTGACAAAGCAGAGAAAAATTGATGAAAACACAATGTACTGCTCACTAGTGTCTAGCTTCGTGAGGCAATTTACCCGGAGTGCTGTTACGCCTGCACGTAAACACGTTAACTTGATATGCTTGAACTATTACGAGTTTACCTAGTCGGAAAACGAGAGCGAGGATCCGGCGACTCGACATGCTACGCGAATCTGACTATCCCAACTCCCATATTAAGTAAAAATAAGACGACTTGATATGAAGTAGAACCTGTATTCTACAAGAATTCAGAAAGTACAAGGTCCGAATCCAGAAGAGAATCAGGACACCGGACTAGGGATCCGGGACTAGGTCCTGGTCCTGGTCGTGGTCATAAAATGTTACAGATAATGCGTATTTATATATTTCGGTCGAATAGGAAACAGCATCGAATTCTGTGACATTGACAATTAAGACGACCAATAGGAAGCAACATTTGAAGTGACATTGATAGTCAGGACAACCAATAACAAACAACACTGGAGCACGTGACATTGATATCTAGGACGACTATAAAATTGACCAGTAGGATTTAACCGATAGGAATTGACTAATAATCCTCTTAGGATATTGGATGAATATTCTAACAAGTCTAACGGCACTGTCGAGGCGAAGTGCACGGGAAATGTATATGCGAAACCTACTGATCAATTACAGTCTCAATCATCAAACGACCAATGTGAATTAACTGACCTTTAACCATGGTACAGGTGTGTGTCCTTATGGAGTCAGTAACTAAGTGGACTACGCAGTGTAATTTGAAGTGAATGGTACTGGTTCCATGTCCCGGAGAGAACATCAAGTCTGCGATACAGGTACATCAAGCTAATAAGTCTTTAACAGAACAGAAAACACGCACCTCAGATTCCATTACTATCCAACTCTGCAAATAAGAAAACTGTTTTTCAGAATTTCATCTTTAATTAAACTTTAAAATTTCTTAAATAACTAACATCAATTAGCCAAAAACTACAAACAGTGAACCGACAAAATCTATCAGACCACTACGTCACAGTGTGAAGCAGTTGAACATTTCATTACATTAACTAACAGCCTAAAATGTTTAGGAAAAAAAGAAGAATCTAAATACTATTCCAGAAAATTTTTTTAATTTTTGAATCAATCCAACAAAACTTAAAGATTGATTCCATCTTTCTATTTTCTCACCTACAAACAATTCACTTCAACTTCTAGTATACTATTCACTAGTAAATTGTATTATTCTGAATTAAAAACATCTGCCCCTGTAATGAAAACTGTTATCATTAGCTTTCTACTAATGAGAAACAACACATCATCAAGTAAGTATCATCACTGCAAATTATAAATTCCCAATTTTTTTCTTTATTGTTTCAACTCAGGAAAAAAATGTATTCTGTTCAATGTGTTCAATGTGTTCAATGTGTTCAATGTGTTCAACCTTTGTTTACTTTAGGTTTGTGTTAAAAACTTTAAAAGGTCTGTATAATACAAAGTAAAAAATAAAAAATAAAAATAATACATCACAGGTGTTTTGATCAAACAATTTACACCTGTTCTATGTAAATAAACAATTGTTATCATGTTGTGTTTAGTGATATAAAGTAGTAGTTTTAACTTTCTTTATTAAGTGTTATAGTGTATGTGTGATGAGTTGATTTTTGGTTGTTTCTAGTTTGAAAATGAAGATAATGCTTATTATTAAAGATTATTAACATTAGTTAATAAATCATTAAAAATTATGATATATCATCTACATTAGTATTCATTCAAAGCACAAGAGAGAGAGTGAATCAATAAACTTCATTTTTGAAGATAAACATAATTTTGTTTGGTTAAACTAAAAAGAAACTAATCATGTTGATGTTTTAAGCAAAACTTCATTAATGAGAATCTTGAATGAACATAATTTTTCAAAACTATTGAAATTCATTTTATACGTTTGAAATCATCAATCAATCAGTAGTAGTGTAAATTCTAAGTTAGGGATTTTAGATAAGTTGCTTCCCAGTGACTAGCTTCTTCAGGAAATTCACTGAGTTCTCGTGAGAAGCTGTGACTAAAGGAGTTCAACCCTGTTCAGGTGTGAAGCAGTGCCCACCGAAGGTAGTGGATGTGGTTGCACAGAACCTTAGATTGATCAAAGTTAGACATTAACACCGTTAGATGCCGGTCGGCTCAATGATCTGGAAGTTAAACGTTCGTGCGCGAGACTGGAGATCTTGGATTTGGTTCCCACGAGTCCACTGATGATGAGTCATGTACGTAAACGAAACGGTCATCTTTCAGTACTTCCAGGTTTCTTTTGGTAGTCTAAGAATGAGTGATTCATGATTTCAATGAAAACTAGTTGTCTACATCTTTATCTTTTTTAAAACTTAAACTTTCCGCTTCAGAATTTCTTTGTATAATATCCTCCATTTTCAATGGTTCTGTGAAAAATAAACATTATTGTACTCGTTTTGTTTAACTATACCAAAAACACTTCTTCCACTTCTTGCGCGCAAGGTTCTTTTCGCGTTGCTGCCATTTTTCTAAATGCTCTGCTCCCCATGTAATGCCAACGTTCTCCTTCAATAAAATACTCAACCATGGATTTATTTTGTCTTAAAGACGGGACCGTACAGAACATTTAGTGGTGAGCATAGTCAATCTGGTATCTTGACTCACTCACTACAGTTCTATCTATAATTTCCACATATTATTAGTTTCTTATCATTATCTCTCTCCCTTATTAATGAAGGTTATCGGTTAGCTG